TGTTCTAGATTACGCGCGTAAAGATAAATCTCATCATAATACAATAGTGGTTTAATTAACATATGATACAACAGATTAGTTTTTCCACTTCCACTGTTTCCACAAATTAACATCCGAAATGTTTCTGATGGCATGTAAGGATATAACTGTTTATATTTTTTATCTGGGTTATCATTGGTATCGTAGTTTTGTATTTCCATTTATATAAACGTTACATAATAATATCCTCTCATGCAGTATTCTTAAAAGGGAGGGGGTCTTAGGGGGAACCGTAGGTTCCCCTTAATATAATGTATTAAATAAAATGGATATTGAAGAATACAAAAAACTTGCAAGAAATAAACTTGAAGCTGATGCTTTGACTAAACAGGTGAGAGATGTAACAAAATTAACAAAATGGCAAAAACAAGATGCTCGGGAAGGTTTTAAAGAAACATTTAAACCACTTATTAAATTTCAAGATAGCATTAAAAAAAGTATTGATAAACAGCAAGACTCATTAATAAAACAACTTCAAGCTAATCAACTTGCTCTTACACAAGGTCTTAATCGAAACAGACTTGCTATAACTGAAGGATTTGATAAAATGGATGAGGTAAAACAATGGGAATTGGCGCAATTACCAGGTTTTGAAGCAATTGAAGAGCCAAAAGAAGATGAGGGGCCAAAAATAGCAAAATTTAAACCTGAAGACCTTGATAGATATTTAATGAATAAACAAGCACAAGATATACTCAAAATTAATGAATACCACAAACTTCCTTCTGAGTATTTTGAATAGGATGTTTCTACCATTGATAAAGTAATTGATGATGTTAACGATGATTTAAAAATTACAGGTCAAGCAATAAAAAATACTGCAATTTTTACACGTGACCCAAACGGTTACACTTTAGCTAAACCAATAAGTCAAAATCCACATGAAAACACAATAAATTTTATAAATAGATATAATGTATTAAGCATATATGCAACAAATTTAAGTAATCTTAAGTATTATAAAACAAAATCTGGCTCTGGAATGATTTACTTTAACAACCCAAATCAACTTCTAGACAGACTTGAATTACTCGGTGGTTCAATTCTTGCTGGGAATAATGGTGTAATACCTGAGTTTTCTCAAATAGCGCATCTTCTCAATCAAATGAAAGTAATCTCAAAAAAACAACTTAATAAACTATTAAAAAATTATATATCCCCTCCCTCGCTACGTCGCATATAAATATATATACATTAATTAAAATGGAAGAACGAGCTATTCACATTTCCTCAGTTAATCGAGAAAAAAGAGGAACAAACAGACCTGGTGATTTTACAATAAAGTTTAATCCACCTCTAAAACTTGACCCTGAAATGAAACACGAACTTGCTCTTGATCGGTTGTCTATGACTTACTCTTGGTACAACAGTAGAAGTAATTATGACAACAATAAAATCAAATACACCCATGATGGAAGGACTTGGCAAACAATTACTTTTACAGATGGAATGTATTCCTACTCAGATATTAATGATTACATTCATCAATACATGGCTCAAAAAAATCATCACACAACAAATTCCAAAGGAGAAAAGAAGTATTCAATCAATCTAACTTTTATTCTCTCCACATATCGAGTTTTAATTTCAATTGATGGTGATTATCAACTTGATCTAAGAGGAACAGAATTTGGAGACCTAATTGGATTTGAAAAGAAACTTATTACAAAAACAGAGTATGGAACAAAACTACCAAATATCACAAATTCGATTGATGTGTTGAATATTAACACAAGCGCAATAACTAATAGCATTGTAGACGGAATAAATACAAATACCATTGCTGTGATATCGACAGATAATCTAACAAGATCTTTTCCATTTACGTTTGAACCTAGAAGACCATTATATTGCTCTGTATCATCATTTAACATTTCTGAGATGAGAATATATGTCACAGACTCACTTGGAAGACCAGTAAATTTTAACGGTATTGATTGGTTTATGACTTTGATTCTCCATTCAATGTAAACCCCCCTGCTGCTACGCGTGACTCAAACCTATAACCCCCTCCCTTAATAAGAATATTGCAGGGGGTCTTATGGGGGTGCAACCCCCTAATTTGTCTAACTATTAAAATAAAATGATGCGACAATCAGAGTTTAAAATGAGATACGACCCTGAATTGGGAAGATATACAAGACAACATATTTACGGAGAAGGAATGATGGATGTGTTTAAATCGGTTGGTAAAAAAATATTTGGAAAGACAATGAAAAAAGCTGCTAAAAAGGGCGCTGAAAAAGCAGTGACAGCAGCTGCAACAAAAACTGGTGAACATGTTGGTAAAAAGGCTGGTGATAAGATAGTGCAAATGTTATCAAAAAACCCCCCTGCTAAAAAAGTTACTTTTAATGAAAATGTTCAAAAAATAAATCCAAGTGAAAAAGAGTTAAATCAAAGATTGATTAACATTCTTAGTGGAGGTTCAACACGTAAGAGAAAATTATATAATTATTAAAATAAAATGAAGTCTTTTAGAAATCCGAAATATTTAGAAAGATATGAGGATGTTGTTTATGACCTGGAACAGGCTCTAGATACAGCCCCAGCAAATAACGCGTCCCAAACGAAAACAGGTCTTAGATTTGTTGCTGATAACACAGGAGAAACTACTCCTTTTGATTGGTATAACGCACGATTATCAATGGATTTTAAAGTAAATAAGCTAGCAGATGGAGGAAATATTGCAGTTGCTGACCATAATGGAATTGTTAATGGTAGTAACTCTTTTATAGAAAAATTAAGTATCCTGGCAAATGGTCGACAAGTTTATAGTTGTAACTACGCAAATCATGTCGTATATATTAAAAATTTGCTTGAGTATAATCCTTCATATGCACAGAGTGTTGCTACAAACGAATTCTATTTTCTTGATACATCATGATCTGCAGAGGAAAGACCTGCTCAAGCAACTTATAATAAAGGTTTTGCTGCAAGAAAAGCACTATTAGGTGTATCAGCCACAGTAAACTGTGAAATTCCTCTTAATAGATATTCTTTCTTTGAAGCACTGGAAGATAAATTACTTCCAAATACAAAAGTTGAGCTAAATATCAAAATTGAAGAAGATGCAAATTTAATTTTTAAAGCTGCTGATGATTGTAGAGTTATTATAACAAGACTACAACTTTTTATTCCAAGACTTACTTTTAATTCAGAAGGACAAAAGTTGTACATGGAAAATTATCTTAAACCTTACAAATGGACATATTTGAATGAAGTAGTTGAAAGATCAAATAATACTCAGCAACAGACAGGACATTTTAGAATTACAAATGCTATTTCAAAACCAAGGCATGTATTTGTTTTTGGAATTGATACGGCAAGAATTGATTCACAAACAGCAAATCCATTTTTATACGACACTTTTGATCTGCCAAATAATGCTAATATATCAAGATGTTACCTGGAAGTTGCAAATGGAAACGAATATCCAGATATTCACTTTAAACCTTCTACAGATATGACAAGAGTTTTTAGAAATGTGATGTCATATGTTTATGCAAATAATGATTATCAAGGTGGAACATTACTTAATAGAGGTAATTTCAAATCTTTATTTCCTTTTGTTTATTTTGACCTGACAAAACAAAAAATGGATATCAAAGACGGTGTTACAAAATTGGCATTTCATTATGAAATATCCGCCAATACAGACGCTAATTACAATTTTTACGCATTAGTCTTACATGAAAGAATAGCAGAAATATCACAACAAGATGGAAAACTATTGCTTCGAGCATAGACCCCTCCCTTTATAAGAATGAAGTTAATTTTGCTACGCTACATATGATTTAATATAATTCTATAAATAAATGACTACTTACTTTGAATACGGTGTAACACTTACAGATGGGCAAAAGTCAAAACTGGCTTCTGCAATATTAAATAAATCACNCACAAACAGCAAATCCATTTTTATACGACACTTTTGATCTGCCAAATAATGCTAATATATCAAGATGTTACCTGGAAGTTGCAAATGGAAACGAATATCCAGATATTCACTTTAAACCTTCTACAGATATGACAAGAGTTTTTAGAAATGTGATGTCATATGTTTATGCAAATAATGATTATCAAGGTGGAACATTACTTAATAGAGGTAATTTCAAATCTTTATTTCCTTTTGTTTATTTTGACCTGACAAAACAAAAAATGGATATCAAAGACGGTGTTACAAAATTGGCATTTCATTATGAAATATCCGCCAATACAGACGCTAATTACAATTTTTACGCATTAGTCTTACATGAAAGAATAGCAGAAATATCACAACAAGATGGAAAACTATTGCTTCGAGCATAGACCCCTCCCTTTATAAGAATGAAGTTAATTTTGCTACGCTACATATGATTTAATATAATTCTATAAATAAATGACTACTTACTTTGAATACGGTGTAACACTTACAGATGGGCAAAAGTCAAAACTGGCTTCTGCAATATTAAATAAATCACCACTAACTCTTCGGTTAAAACATTCACATCTTCGAGGTTCTGATGAGTTAATGCTGACAAAAAGACAAATTGCTAAAATAGAAAAATCTATTGCAAATGGCACAGGATCAGATATAAAGATAAGTAAAACACAGATTAGACGTTCTGTAAAACACGGTGGAAACTTATTTACTTCACTCGCATCTCTTGGAGCAAAAGTACTACCTTTCGCAGTAAAAGGAATTTCAAAAGCTGTTCCTGCATTGGCAACTGGTGCTGCTACTGCACTTGGAGAAATTGGACTAAATAAAATATTTGGAAGTGGCACCCCCCTCCCTTTAAAAGAAATAATAATACCAAAAAAAGTTTTTCCCAATGTTACCACCTCTTGTAAGAGAATTTACCAAATCACAAATAAATCAAATTAACAAAGCTTATCAAACAGGTGGTCGATTAGTTATAAAACCAACTCGTAGGCAGATAGAAGGAGGATTTCTTGGAACTCTTGCATCTATTGGAATTCCAATGGCAATTAGTTTAGTCTCAAAAATGTTTGGCTCTGGGCTTCAAGTTGATAGACATGGATCATCTAATACAGCAAATGTTTACGTTCCACCGCCACCACCTAGAAGTGGTAAAGGTTGTCCTTATTACCCACCTCCCTTTTTAGGTACATTGGAAAACCCGATTGGAATGGGAGTTAAAAAAAAATCCAAGTCCAAGGGCAAAGGACTACTACTAGGAAAAAACAGCCCATTCAACTTAATTCCATTAATAGGAGCCATTTTGTAATTAAACCATTATCCAACTTTGACCTCATGGAATGGTTAAAAAGACTTGGTATTAAACATTTTAGAGGAATATTTAGTCGCGATGGACTACCTCATAAGATAAAAAAAGAATGTGGAATAATTAATCTAGATGATATAACAGGTCCTGGAACACATTGGGTTTGTTATAGAAATATAGACAATGTAGTTGAGTACTTCGATCCATTTGGACTGATAATGCCAAATGAAGCATTGAAGTATTTTCATACTTCTGGAAAACGTATAGTTTACTCAATGGATGAAATACAAAATCGCAGTACTGTTCTCTGTGGTTATTGGTGTTTATATTATCTGTTTGAGCGACAAAAAGGTAATAGTATTCTAGACGTAATACATCACCCACATTTTGATGATGACAATAGTGATTTCATAAAAGCATATTTCGGGAAAACCCCTAAAGTTTAAAAAATAATATTTATTGTAAATATTATTTTTGGTCTTCATCCATTGGTTCTGGCGAGTCTTTTAGCTTTTTGATTTCATCAACTTTCTTATTTAATTCTTTAACATTATCAACTATATCATTAAAGTTTAAGTAAATATCAATAAGTCTAAAGAGTTTCTTTTTTTTTTATCACTCTTTATTTTTAACCAGAAATAATCACCATTTCTAATTTTTTCCCAGATTTCACATTCACCACTAGTTAATATTCTAGAAAGTTCCAAATTTGTTTTTCGTAGACTTTCAAACTCATTATTTATTTTATTTCTAACTTCTTTCTCATAATCTTTGAGTGTTTTTACATTCATCTTTTTTTCTATTTCAGCGAAAAATTTGGCTTCCATTTTATATAATCATTATACTAAAATGGAAGAATCTTATTGCGTTGTAGATAAAAGAGTAACTCCTTGTACAGAGCCAAGTGGTTACCAAACAGATAAAAGAGGACGTACTCAATTTTATTGTAGATGCGCTGTTTGTGGAAATAAAAAAGTTAGATATGTAAAAAAAAACTAAACAGCCCGTCTGAAGGGGCGGGCGTTTTTGATACTGTTGTTGGTACAGCAGTTGATGGTTTTGTTCATTACGGTTTACCTTGGATGGGTAAAAAAGCAGTTGAAATGGGAAGGTATGGAGCAAGTGAGTTAATGAGAAATAAAAATCTTCAAAAAAAAGCTGTGAATTATGGGATTAGTAAACTCACTCCATTTATTCAAGATTCTGTTGGAACAGCAATGGATGAACTATCAACAAAAGTGAGACCAAAAAAGAAATATAAAACTCATAGACCAGAATTAGATGGAAAAGGAATTGATGTTCACAAATGGATTGGAAAACTCCCAAAACCAAAAGCAGGATGGACTCCAGGTTCGTATAAATATATGGGTCCCTACAATCCTCTAGACAAACAATTAAGTTATGATCCTAAAACTGGAAAAGTAACAGAATGGAAAGTCAAACCATATAACAAAGTTGATGAAATAGCAGCTTATCACGACATTTGTTACGACATGGGAAAAAAAAAAAGGTGATTGCGACAGAGAGATGGTACAATCATTAGATGAGATACCATATGGTGAAATGCCAAAGTGGGGCTCAACTGCTAGATTTTTGATTAATACAAAACAAAATCTTGGTCTTGGCATTCAAAAAAACGCGCGTCGGCGTTGAGTAGTGATTGGTCTCAACAACTAGCCGACGAACTTCACAAACCAATCACAAGAAGCTTTCAAAAGAGATCAGTGGTGTCAAACGGAATTGATGATATCTGGGCTGCTGATTTAGTTGAAATGCAAAAGTTTAGTAAGTGTAATAAAGGGATTAAATATTTGTTGATGGTTATAGATTTGTTTAGCAAGTATGGATGGATTAGGGGACTGAAAGATAAGAAAACTGAAACTGTTAGTAAAGCATTTGAGGGCATATTCAAAAGTAAACGTAAACCAAAGATGCTATGGACTGATAAAGGTTCTGAGTTTATCAGTAAACATTTCAAAGATTTTCTTAAAAGAGAGGGTATCAAACTGTATCACACTGAAAATGAAGAAAAATCTAGTGTTGTTGAGCGATGGAATAAAACAATGAAAAACAAAATGTGGAAGATGTTTACTCTGAATAACAACACTGTTTACTGGGATAAGATAGATAAACTGGTTAATGACTACAATAATGCGAGACACTCTAGCATTAAAATGACTCCTGCTGAAGCTAGTAAAAAGAAGAATGAAAGTAAAGTTTGGTCTAATTTATACGGTGATTCTATTTACTTTAAACCTGGTAAACCAAAGTTTTCTATTGGAGATAAAGTTAGAATTTCAAAATATAAGAGAAAGGTATTTGATAAAGGTTACACACCAAACTGGACAGAGGAGATATTTGTAATTGATAAAGTTCTTCCAACAAAACCTGTTACGTATAGTATCGTTGATTTGACAGGAGAAGAGATTAAGGGTTCTTTTTACGAACAAGAATTACAGAAAGCAAAACAACAGACATTTAGAATAGAAAAAGTTATCAGGAGGGATAATAAAAAAAAGATGGCACTAGTAAAATGGAGTGGATATCCTGACAAATTTAACTCATGGGTGAGTTCTAAGGATTTGGTTGATTTTTAATACAAATAATGTATTAAAAATAAAATCCTATAATTACTCAGTTACTTCTTTATCTAAAATAACTAAATCTTCAATATTTTCCTCAGTATCACTTGCTTCACTCGCTTCGCTATCGCTTACTTTTAATTTTTTTTCACTTGCTTCATCCTCTTCTTCAATTGTTAACAAAGACTCTCTTGGTTTTAATTCTTTAATATAACACTCGTGTACTTTAATTTGTAATGATGTAACAGTTTTGCTAATAAATATTCCTTCTATAATCAAAGCCATTTTAACATTACAATACTGGTTAAGATAATTAAAAGGATTAACTTTTTTCTTACCTTTCACATGAAAAAGTGAAAGAATTTTTTTTAGTTTTTCCGAGTAAATAAGTTTTGCATAAAAAACTGGTGCAGCTGAGGGGTCTCTCTTTGTTTTCTTTTTACCTTTTTTGTCTGTATATTCAATCTGTTTATAGTATAATGGTTCAGATAAAGAAGAAGCAAGATCAGGTCCATATTCTTCTTCTAAATATTTTTGACAAATTTCTGTAAGTTTGCATTAAAATTTATAAAATTGGTCTTCCTTCAAATTTGGGCTGGAATCTTTTTCCCATAAGCAAACTGGAATGCTATAACCTACTAACTTGTTTGTATTTTGGTCTTTCTTTTCATTTACTCCAAAAGAAAAAAGAAACGGAGTTTCAATAACTAAACTACCTTTTTTTCCATTTGGATAAACTGTTTCGATAGGAATTCGTTTGTATTTAATTTTCGAATCTTTAATATTATACTCTTTTGCGTCATTAAAGATGATACTTTGCGGATTTAAATCTTAAATACTAGTAAGTTGCATTTTATTAATAGTTGTTAAATCTTTAAATCATAATTTAAAAAAAATTCAATTTTATTTTCCCTCCTCCCTTTATAAGAATACAAGAGTTTTATATCATTTTTTGATATAAAACTAAAGGATAATTAATCACTATCACTATCACTATCACTATCACTATCAAAATTAATATCGCTACCAATATCACTATCAAGACCATTTTTAAAATATAAAAATTGTTTTAATTCATCTTTACTATAATAATCATCACTATCACTTTCACTATCACTATCACTATCACTATCACTATCACTATCGCTATCTTCATAATCAATAATACTTCCTTTTTCACTCTCTGGAAAAATGTATGTTTTTTTATACTTTATTGTTTCATTGTGATAACTCAAAGTATCTATCAATTTTCTTAATCCTGGGTAATCTTTGTCAACATTTTTTTCATATTTTTTTTTATTTATTTTACTATAACCAACTGGATTAATATCAAGATAACAATCTAAATATTCACTTATTATCATTTCTATATGTTCAATATTCAGAAAAACTTCGAAATTTAATTCTTCTCCTGATAAATCTTTAAGAATTCCAGAATCAATACCCTCTTTATATTTTTTTATTTGAATATTTATTTTATTAATCCACCCACTTCTTTTTTTCAAACTTCCATTTTCGACATCATTAAAATACAAATCTTTATTTAAATATGAAAATGATTCATCAATGCCTAATAAAAAGATATATTCCTTTTCAAAAGGCTTTGCGTAATCTGGGATAGCTTTGCAGTTCATTATACTTTATTATATTTATTTCTTTAAATTTCAATTTTATTTTTTCTGACTCGAATCATTTATAGAGTAGTTATAGAATGATTACTTGTGACTCACTTTTCAAACACTTTTTTCTATCATTTTCTGCGAGCGAGTAAAACGAGCGAGCGATTAAGTTTCATCCAATTTAAATAATTTTCTGACTTTTTTCTATTTTATATATTTATACATTTTGAGAATTTTAATAATTTTTTCGCGAGTCAGAAATAAATGACGGAAAGAGTACAAAGAAATATGACGGAAATAACCAGGAATTTATTTCAAATGACGGTTTTAATCAGGAAAATGATAGAAAAAAGTGTTTGAAAAGTGAGTTCCAAGGAATCATTTTATAACTACTGCCGGACGTCAACTGCTTATTTTTAAATGCCCCACACAACTAAAACCTCAAATATGCTATTTGTTTTTAACTCGTTAATAAAATCTTGTCACCGCAACAAAAAAACCTAATTCGGAAATAGTCACATGCCTAATGACGTCATTACTTTAGTGTGACATGGGAAGATATTTTATGGCAAATGTTATCTTGTTGTGGTCTGACAGTATTCTACGTATAAATTTGTCAAAGTTATAAAGTTTTTTAAAGAATTCCCTCAAAGGATTCTGGGAGATTTTGTTATGATAATATTATAATTTACTTTTATAATTATTATCGTTATCATTATCATTATCATCATCATTATTAACTGGCATTAATTCCTCGACTAATTCTTCACAATCAACTGGCGTAGTGGCGCTTATTAACCAAATTTGGAAAATGTGAGCGGGATATCCGCCCTCGGATTCCATGGTCTAATCCTTAATTAATAATCGCAGCCTCGTCTGCAGGCAGCGATGCGAAAGCCGGCCTAGAGTTCCTGAAAATAATAAATATAAATAAATATTAAATAAAAATAATTAATGATCGTAGTAACTGGCTTTTTGCGGTCCACACAAAACGTCTTTTGTACTTCCGTTGCTCCTGGAAGCAAAGTGATCTATTCCAAGTTACTCCTTTGTCATAGCGATAAGTGCATCGCGGTTGGAATGAACTTCGTAGACAGAAATTAGAAATGCAAATAATGCTGGAACTCCTCAAACATCATTTTACTTTTACGATAAAACCGCTTAGAAGAGCTGCACCTTCTTGTCCAATTGTATTCTGCGGTCTTAAAAAGGTAGGATTCAAAAGTGTGTACTTTAAGAAGTTCAAATTTCTCTGATGATGGCATTAAGACGTAAAAGTTAAAGCCTTATATATGTATATATATATTGCATAGTGCATGGAAAACTGTAGCGCCACCAAAATTCTATTCTTCAGTCGTTTTATTTATGTAAAACATGATTTCAACCGTCGTCGACATAATCGAAGCCCAGAATTGCAGAATAGCCATCATTTGATTGCTATCATAAAAATAAACAGAATCATTAAAACCACCGCATATAACATAGCAAAAAAATTTCCTCGGGAAAGTACTGTTCGCGGAGGCTTTCGTTTGATCATAAATAGCCTCGCTTTTCGACTATTCAGTTTCAAAAATTCGCTACGTCGTGCCATAAGAAAACCACGCAAAGCTAAGGACAGTTAAAGGTACAGAGTGTTCCATAGTTTCGGTTTGATGGTTACTGCTATAGATACCCTCAAAGTCGATCAGAGAATAGAACCACCTTGTACATGAAATAAGAGAATGTAGCAAGAATTTACTTTACTTTTTATGTACAATATTCTTGGACATCCAACCACTGTAAATAAACTCACGCAGTAAATGCAACATACACCAGCAAACTACTCAGTCAAATTTTGTTTTATGTTGGAGTCTTGACCGCTGTACCACTAATAAATAGCTTTTATCTGAATGGTTGCACTTTGACGTTTTTATCCACAGAAAGATATAAATGGTTATATCAGAACTGAAGGTAACAAACGATATAAAGAATTAAATGCGCATGCAGATAAAAATGAGTAATTAGTACAATACCTTGCGATTGAATACGGCAATATTGAATTTTGTTTTCATTTCTGTTTCATTATTTCACTGTTTCTTTATTCATTATATTTACTATATTTAAACTAAATAGTGTTTTCCTCCTTACGATACTTAACATTTCTTTTTTATGACCTATCAGGTTAAGTGCTTAACTTTCCTCTATACATCCAGATAAAAAATTAGAGAAAATTTTCAGTATTTCTTTTATTAGAGTTGTTCTCAACTCCATATAATTAGCGTTTCTTCAGTGTAATTATAAGAACACCATGAGATCACTTAAGCGATTTATAAGATCCTCGATCAGCAGCTCTTTTTCAAGACTTAAAAATATGAACAAAAACTGAGTTTTATCCGTTATAAACGCGGGAGAAACATGGCCATTTCTGTAGCCATGATATTTGATTTTTCAGTCATAACTGTAAGATTGCATTTGACAACAATTATAGTTATATGCGGGTAATAGACAAGTATCGCAGATCAATCGCTGTTAGTAAGTCCCGCACGGAATACTTTTCGATTCGTATATGTGCCGACGCATTTTCGACGTCATCATAGAGTGGAAACTCAGGAAAACTCGCTCAGCAGAGGGGCACCCAGATGGAGTTCCTGACTGGATATATATATATTTAATCATTTACGGCAACCGTTGCAATATCTGCCGTGAATGAAAAGAAAGGTTTGTTTTTTTTTCTTTTCAATATATTGATTTATGATCAAGCCCATGCAATTACTCCACTCTGTCACTGATTCATCTCGAGAAACTGTCTTGAATTTTAAACAATTTTTGTTCACGGTAAGTAACCGAAACACACAATAATTGTGGTGCTTTTCAAATTTTGTTACAAATTTTCCACATCTTCCGGCGCTTTGGTTGACGAACTTAATGGAAACTTCTGAACTGAATAGCTGCAGTACAATTAAAACATTCGTTTACATTCTTAGCAAAAGAGAGGGTAACCATAGTAACATGCTGTAAAGTTTGACTCACACAAGGCCATACATATGATTTATATAACGAAGGTGGGCGATCCCGCACCTCTTTGAAAGATTGTTTTTGATGATTAGCTGGGAAAACAATAGGGATTGTCACATAACAATGCTCCTGTCCCTGAAAACAATGGAGGTGCAGAGTAAAGGGGACTAGTGAAATAAGAGGTTTTGAACGGTGCAGGTCTACTGATGAAGGTTGCAGTTGCTTCAATACACTTGAATCGAACTTGAAAAAGTTACAAGCTTGAAGTAATAAAAAAAAGAAATCCTGTAAATAAACAGGTATTTATTTAAAATAAACAAATAAACCCGCCACTATTTTTTATGCTTAACGTACAGATAATCAAGCCACCAGCCCAATCGATTTTGAAAGGCAAATTTCCCTGGTTGAAAAACGGAAAAGTAATTGTAATTCAGAATCCGAGGGAAAAATAAGCAAAGATATATTACATATTTTAACGTCTTATGTTATATCCTGCATTTGACTCGAGGAGAGGAGAACAGTTTCTTACAGGAGAAAAGAGAACAATTATAAAATAGTATAAAAAAATATTGCTTAGACGTGTACGAAAGTCCTCGGTAGTATAGTGGTGAGTATCCCCGCCTGTCACGCGGGAGACCGGGGTTCGATTCCCCGCCGGGGAGGACTTACTTTTTGTTTATCATTTTGTTTACCCACCAGTATAGAAATAAATTATCTTATTTCAAGGCCAAGTTTTCATTTTCAAACTGTAAGAAGAAAACTAAAAGAATGCGATATTGTTTTAATCATTCTGGCACAAGGTT